AAAAATATTGAGCCATTTGGTGTGACCTATCATTAAAATTTTAAAAATAACAATATTATATAGGAAAAATGGTCCAATATTTTTGTACGCCACCCTTTTTCTCAATTTTTTGATCAAATTATCTTACGATTCAAGTAAAAAGCAAATTGGTATTTACGAGTTTTTAGTAGCTATTTAAATAGAAAAAGTTTGCTCCCCTCCAGATTGAAAACACCCCAATTCCAAGAGTTTCAATAATAGTTGTAGGTTACGATGAGATGAAACTATTTACGAAATTTCAGGCGAATGTTAATAATTCGATAAAAAGGGGTCTGTACTACGAACTATTAGTTGTTTACTGCGAGTTGAGGGAATTTAAGCTTTGTTATGGAATCTTCTAATAAAATTCTTATCGTAAGTAATATTTGATTGTTTTGCAAAAATCATCAATTGATCAAATATTTTAGTCATAGGGTGGGCAATATTGATCTAGAGAAACTCTGAGTGCTTCCGTCAGAGATTTCGGAAAAATTATGATAGAATTCATAATAGAGTCTGAAATAGTTGTGTATCACGATATAGAATAATGTGTTGACTATTTCACGCTTTAGTTATGAATGAAAGGAATGCTTTCTAAGAATGTTTGAGGTTTGAGAACACCGCAGTAATTTCGCGTACGTCGATACTCAGCTAAACTTTGTAGAGAGTTCGTTCATGGCAATAGTTGCGCTATAAACATTTTTGAGGGAATTACATATTTAAAAGGCAATGTGTTTTTTGAAGAAATTTTTGTGGTTTTGGAAGGTAGAGGCAACTTTCAATGCATTACCTGATCGACTATCCGTCATTTATACACTCATATACATTGCATATTTTTTGGGATATTGCCTTTAAATTCCTGAAGTACCATTCGAAGATCTTCTTTGTAACTAAACACACATTGAACTAAAATATTATCTCTTAAGTGAAAGAAAACGTGGTAAGATGGAAAACATAAATTCTACGTAGACACAGAATGTAGTCCGTGGTAAAGATCTCTATTAATGAAATTATTAACATTTGTCCGAAACTTCGTGAATAGCTTCATCTCATCGTAACCTACAAATATTATATTTACAAAAATTCTCTCGCTTTTTCCATGTAGAGGTCTGCAAACTTCTTCTGTTTAATTAGGTACTAAAAATTCTTTTTTTTTTTTTTTTTTTTTTTTTTTTTTTTTTTTTTTTTTTTTTTTTTTTTTTTTTTTTTTTTTTTGTTGTCTATAACAAATATATTTGCGCCTGTCAAAATATTGTTGACAATCAGCAAATGTGATGACGATACAGGAAATAATGACATGACAGGCATGGGGAAGGAAAGTACTCAGCAGTACCTCTTCCCTAACTTGATCCAATTACTTAGATTGTCTAAGGAAGGAGATCCCTCATCCAACGCCTTTTTAGTCTCCTGCTCATGTTCTGAGGTATGTCAGCTGTGGCCATGTCTCCACAGAAGGATGGACAAAGAGCTTGCAGTCAGCTGATTAGCGGCCATTTTGTGGATACATGGCTTGAGTCACCTGTGCAAGCTGTTGGAGGATACTAAACAGGGGCTGTATGAGGGAGTTTAAACCATTGAGTAATTGGAGCAATTGAGGTGGGGCATTATTTTCAGCTGAAGGTGGCTGCTGAGTAGTTTCCCGCCTCATACCTGAACATGATGGTTTGATGTGAGCAGATGTAGTAGCATTTTCTCTTCTTGTCATCTGGTTTCTTGATGGTTCCTGCAGCTGAGCTGGCGTAGCTTTCTGCGAAGCATTTTTTTGTATTGGCTGCTCTTTTCGGAAGGGCTGCTGAAGAGTCGGAAATTCTTCGAAACTTGGTGGTGGAGGGAGAGGTGGGGATCTAGGAGGATGGTTGGTTCTTGCTGTTCTCCTATGCGCCCTCAGATTCTTCAGGACTTGGCATCCTCGGTAGTTGGCCGGGTGGTCTCCAAGGCAGTTTGCGCAGGTTGCCTTTGTCTCCCTGATCTTTAAGCAGGATACACTTTCGTGGCCTTGGCCACATTTAACACATCGTGGAGAATGGTTGCAATATGATTTTGTATGACCATATTGTTGGCATCTTATACACTGAGGTATAATTCTTTTTTTTCGAGGCTCCTCTACAACAATTTTTGTATAATAAATTGATTCAATTTCATAAATTTTTTCATTGAAAGTAGCCTTTGTTATGTCTATGAAAAACATGGGTAAAGGTTTTTTGAATCGAGAGTATACATTTGTGATGTTTGTTGCAATGTAACCATGTTTTTCTAAATCATTTTTGATTTCAGAGATTGGGGTGGTGTGGTGCAAATTTTTAATAACAATTCTTCTATTTTTGTCCTCAGGTAGCTGATATGTGTGGAATTCAGCACCTCCATTTCTAAGACTACTCACTAGTTTACGGTATACGTCAGGTGTTTTCGGGTAAACTGTTACACCTTTGATAGTTGTTTTCAGAAAAAAAGAATTTGGAGCTGCGTTGTTTTCAAGGAATAGGACTAATGCCTGATAATTTTGAACGTCGTTTATGTGTATTGGTGGTGGTTTTTCGTTTGTTTGATCATTTACTGCGGATTGTTCATTTTCGGTAATGGTATTAAGTACATCATAAGAATTACTTACAGGTATTGGCGTTGCATTTTCTGTTTCGGTTTTTTTGTATTTTCTCGGATCCCTAGATTCATTAGGAAAATTTCTTTTTTTACCCGTTACCAATGCCCAAGCATCGCCACAAGCAGTGTCGATTAAGTCCATCCTTTCGTCCCTTACCACAACATTTGTAGTTGGGTTGGGATCCATTTTTTCGGTGGATATCACCTTCAACTACGTATGTTCACTTTCACACCTTCTTCCTTCAACTTTGAAAAAGAAAATTTTACTTTTCTACTTGAAAATTCAACTGAAAATTCAAATAACCTTTTTAGTTATAATTTTTTGTGTTTATTAAAAATTCTTAAATAATGATTTGCTTTCCACTTCAATCGTAAGATAATTTAAGCAAGAAGTCGAGAAAAAAAAGTGGCATCAAAAATATTGAACCGTTTGGCATGACCTACACCTCCAAATTGTCAAAATAATGAGGTTATATAGGCCAAACGGCAAATATTTTTGTAGGCCGACTTCTTAATCGATTTTGTGAACAAATTATCTCACGATCCAAGTGGAAAGCAAATGGGTATTTACGAGATTTTAGTAACTCTGTCTATTTAATTAGGAACTAAAAACTCGTAAATAACCATTTGCTTTCCACTTGGATCGTAATATAATTTGTTCAGAAAATCAATTAAACAGTCGGCCTACAAAAAATTGTGCCGTTTGGCGTGACCTACACCCCCAATTGTCAAAATAACGAGGTTATATAGGCTAACATTTTTGTAGGACGACTTTTTAATCGATTTTGTGAACAAATTATCTTACGATCCAAGTGGAAAGCAAATGGGTATTTGCGAATTTTTGGTACCTAATTAATAGACAAAGTTAAACGACCTCCACATTGTAAACGCCCCAATTCCGAGAATTTTCGTAAATGAAATATTTAAAGGTTACGACGAGAAGAAGCTTTTTACGAAGTTTCAGGTGGATGTTAATAAATCGATAAAAAGGGGTCTGCACCACGGAGTATTTGTAATACATTTAATTGCTTTGTTAACAAATTTTTAAATACGCAAAAAAAATCTAATTTATAAATATGTTATTGAAAATTGACTCTTTAACAGTTACGAAAATTGATATGGTGTTCTGTACCTCCGGGGTTCAAATATTAATTTCTGATGAAATAGAACTCGTTAATATATAAATCTATTATTGGGTCCTAACTTCTTTAATTAAAAAATAAAGTTATTAAAGGTATTAACCAAATGTTTTTTCCAACCCTAATAGTCCGTGATACAGGCCCATTTTTTTGAATTTATTAACATCCGACTGAAACTTCGCAAATAGCCTCATCTCATTGAAACCTAAAAATTGTGACTAAATTTTCTTACGATCCAAGTGAAAATCAAATTGGTATTTAAGAGTTTTAGTACCTAATTTCGAGAATTTTTATAAACAAAATATCAGTAGGTTACGATGAGATGAAGCTATCTATGAAATTTCAGACGGATGTTAATAATTTGATTAAAAGAAGTCTGTAACACAGACTATTGTGTATGGATCACTATTAAACAAACTTTATGTGATCAGTATTAATTTTTATTCATAACATCAAATTCTCGTATCTTCTCTTGTTAAGACAATTATTTTACTTCATCTAGCTAAAAGATAATTCAGGAGTGTACTGTACTCTTTTATTGTTTTTCGGATCCTAACTCCGACATGGAGGCTACCACAAACTACTGTAGCTTTAACCAAACCATAGCACTATGCTTGAAACTATACTAGAACCCCACGACTTAATCAAAATTATCTTACGATCCAAGTGAAAAGTAAATTGACATTTAAGAGTCTTTAGTCTTTCTGAAGTTTTAGGCGGATGTTAATAGGTTGATAAAAAAAGGGTCTATTGTGTATGCATCACTATTAAGTAAACTTTGGGTGATCAGTATTAATTTTTATCATAACATCAAATTCTCGTATCTTCTCTTGTTAAGACAATTATTTTACTTCATCTAGCTAAAAGATAATTAAGGAGTGTACTGTACTCTCTTATTGTTTTTCGGATCCTAACTCCGACATGGAGGCTACCACAAACTACTGTAGCTTTAACCAAACCATAGCACTATGCTTGAAACTATACTAGAACCCCACGACTTATCTTACAATCCAAGTGAAGAGCAAATTGGTATTTAAGAGTTTTTAGTAGCTAATTCCGAGTATTTTTGTAAATAAAATATTTGTAGGTTACGACGAGAAGAAGCTATTTACGAAGTTTCAGGCGGATGTTAATAATTTAATAGAAAGGGGTCTAATATCATTTGTTTTTTAAGAATAATAAAAAGATCATACAATTGGTTTTATATTTATGATATATATGAATAATATTGCTGATGTGACTGACCATGCTCGAACTCATGGTGTTGCAAGCACTGAGGGGAAGCTCGTAGCTGAGAGGCCCCACGGCCCTGCTGTACTGGGACATGCAGGAGGAGTTCCTCCCCAGCCCGCGGGGGTAGATCATGCCGTCGAACATCCCGTTGTTCGTCCGCACCGTGATCGACATCTGTTCGCTCTTGCAGTTCACTCGCACTTCGGGGTTTATACTGGGCGCACCTGAAATAGAAAAAAAAAATTAGCAAAGTTTTATCAAATATAAAGATTTACAGTTGGGATAGGAAGTATATGGTTGGCAAAGGCGGATCTACGGAGGGGGGCTTTCGGGCTGAAGCCCTCCCCCAAAACGGCAAAATATAACCATATTTTAAAGGAAAAAATATTTAAAATTACCTCTTAAAGCATTATTGTTCGTGTAATTACATTTAATAGACTTCAAGAATCATTTAAACACCATTTCATATAGGTATTTAATTTCTTTCTTTGTTTTTTTTCAACTATCGTTATATATAAGAAAAAAAAATCCTCCCCCCAAAATCCTGGATCCGCCAGTGATGGTTGACAAAAAATTTTACAAGTAGGTGACTTTCATAACAAAGTTATCATTCGCTTTTCAGTGCATATGTGATACATCGAGCTTCCCTGCGATCTCACGAGTGAAGCTACGACGATTTTCATTGATAACCTCTTAGCTTTGGTCGGCCAGGGCGTTGCTAGTATTTCAAAATCTCCGCACGAACTAATTTTAACACCGCTTTTCTTTTAAGAATTCAGCAACGTACACAGCACATAGCATTTAGGTGTGATCGAAAATGCACACTTTCTTCCATTTCAAACTGAATTTGAATACTAAACTAAACATTTGATCATCAAAATATTTACATTAAATTATAAAAGAGATATTAAAGGTTAAAAATATACAACTGTTTGATCACGATAATTTGTTGTTAGCCAAATTTTATCCATTGACCCATTTTACCCATAATTGATTGACAGTGCGCTGGTTATTGTAAGAACGGGTGTGGACTTAAAAGGAGAGGAAGGGGAGAAGAAAAAAAAATCCAAGAGATTCAGCTAAAGTAGGCATATCGCTGTTGCAGTTTTATTATCATTATATTATTTGATTTTTCAAATAAAACTTCTACAAAAAGTTCGTTCCATGAGTTATGAATTTCAGGTACTTTGTTTTGCGGTATGGTATATCTAATGCGCCTGCCAAAACTTCATTGAAATCTTAAATTAGAAAAAGCCCTTAGTCGAATGAAAATTTCTGTAAAAATGCTGAGGATGACGAAGATGGACAGGAAAATCTTTTTTGATGCACCTATGTTGTAGAGAATCAATTGATATTCATATTCCAAAAATGTTTATAATATCTATGAAAATATATCGATATTTCAAGTACGATATTTTGATGGAATCGATAGTTATAGGCTAATATGACAATTATCGGTACTGGGGCCTTCGATATCCCATCCCTAAGAAGGGGCGTTCGCATAAAATCTGTGATGGGGATCTGTCTAAGAATATAAAAATCGAAAAAAATGTATATACTTAATAAGTCATATACTTTTCCAGTTATGTCAAAATTTCTTTTTCATAACTTTTTTCTGAGGGTTACGTTTGTTTTCGTACATAATGACAATCTTGAAAATGATGGTACATTAAATTGTATTTGATGAAGAATTAAAGATATGGCGCAAAGATTAAAAGAGAAGGTTATAAACCGACAAACTAATATAAAGATTATAATATTGAAAATTACACAAAAAAATAGTGAAAAGTAAGAACATATATTGAGAAGAGAAGAACACTAACATCATTATTTTATTGGTGTTAAGAGTTCTGTTTATTACAAGAAGGTTAGGCTGTAATCAAAATAGTTTCGACTATGATTATATTCCAGAGGATGTTAAGAAGTATTTTAACATGAGCATTGAAGCGTAGATATATGTGGTCATCCAAGGCCATCATTATCCGACGAATTGGCATAATTGAAGAGCGATAAAGTGACCACTGGCGAAGAGGAGGAGGGACACCTGAAGTGGATGTGAGTCAGTGAAAGGTGAAGAACCTTAAGACCAGTTCTGCAACCTCGCCGTATCCTCTCTCTCTCTTCCTCCGGGTATCTTCTTGTCCATCGGCTACTAATGGCCACTATATATATCCTACCTCTCTTCTTATCTTGTCTTGGTCTTCTTAACACCTTCGGGGGTGACACAATGTCCATTGTAGGGAAAGCAGAAGCTGCGCAAAAATGAAGGTTTTTCTGTGTGATGATGGATATCTTCCTATCTACGCCTTACGGTGTAATGCATACTTCTTCCTCCACTTCACGGAAAGTCCACTTGAACTTTCCGGAAAAAAAGGAATAATTTTATGATATTCAATGAAAAGGACTCCTTTCAGTTATTTAATGTTTCTATGTAAGTAAAAGAGGTATTGGGACTACAGATATTTCAATTTACAATAACAATAATGTTATAGAATGGTCTCAGCAATTATATTGGTCGAAAAGTGTCGTTTTTCATTGAGTTTCATAAAAATATTCCTTGATGGAACGTTCAAGTAGAAGAACGACTTTCCCTTCATACCACTTTAGGTAGAGGAAATATGTTTATCAGTCGGGCATTAGTTTTATAACGCTCTCCATTAGCTTCTACCACTTCATATATTATTTTTTAGAAAATCATCAGCTTTTCAACGATTTGTTAAAAATATAAATTTCAAAATTCATATTCATTCATTATTACTAATTCATATAAATTTACTATTCTATTTTCGGGAAATTTGTTATCAATACGGGAAGAATTTTCACTTTTTTTTCCCTAGTGTTAACTTTTAAATTATTTCATAGTTTATATGTAATAATTTCCTATCACTAAAAACAAAGAGAGGGAGAAGGGTAGCTCAGTAAGTAAGGCACGGTATTCTGAAGGTCCGGCTGCAGCAGGTAATTATTCATTCTGTTATATCAGCCGTGGATCAACTTGAAATCAGAAGATCCCCTTGGATCACATCCAATCTTTATAAAGTGAGTATTCTTTATTAAATAATCGATTAAGGGAGATTAACGACACCAATATTGAGAAATCAGTAATTGTGACCGATTCCTTATCTGTAATCAAGGGACTGCAAAATGCATGGACATGTAACACATTGCACAAAAAAATTCAGCTAATGAACTTGAAACTAAATAAAAATAGTCAAAAAATAGTATTGTTTTGGGTACCCTCACACATTGGCATAATCGGCAATGAACGAGCCGATGAAGGAGCAAAGGAAGCCGCCAGAAGCACAGATTCACCTGTTTTAGGATCGATGTTTCTCAACGAATGGAGAAGAGAAATTTCAAAGAAAGTGAACGACAGTTGGAATGCACAGTGGAGATTACTGCCGCGCAATCACCTTCATCTGACCAAAGACGACAATCGAGCTTGGTATCCTCCAAAACACCTGACGTCAAAAGAGTGCTCTATAATAAGCAGGCTCAGGATTGGACATACCAAACTGACCCATCTCCACCTACTTCTTGGCTTACATCGACCAACATGTGAGGCATGTGAAAATGCTAATCTGACAGTTGAACACATATTCCAGTGCAAAAAGTTCCGGAAACAGCAAATCGAGCTCCAAATTGAAGACAAGGCACCATACAAGGAAAACACTGGTATTGAAAAAACGCTGAAGTACATCCGAAAAATAAAATTGATAAGTTATATTTAAGAAGAACGATCGTCGCTAATGACCTTGGCAGTCGATGCGACATTAAATAACAGCAAATAAAAAAAAAAAAAAAAAAAAAAAAAATTACCTTTAATATGCTGTCAATCCAAGTGTTCTCAATACAACATTAGCAGGTACAAAACATCAAACACTGGATATTTTTGTACAAATAGATAGGAATGGAATATTCCAATTTGTAATGAATGATGAAAGATTATAGCAGGAAATTAAATTTTAAAATAAATTAGATATTTGCAGTTTTATGATTTAGCGTACCGTTTGTGAACATATGTACGACTTTTTTACCAGCAAAACCTGTAGCATTTTCAAAGTTTCATTAAAAGAATCTCAAAACTCCAAAAAATCGAGGTGGATGATCTATGTATGGCGTGATGCATTGTTCAAAAATGCTACCAAATATCTCAACTAGTCGTCAGGGATGGTTGTGGATGGGGTTGATTGTGGGGAGTAAATTTAAGGGGTGTTTTTGAATGGGTGTAGAGTATTTGGGGGTTAAGGGGGGAGGGGTGGGGGGTTGGGAGTTTTGGAGTAGTAGTATGATAGAAAGGTTGGGATGATTGGGGAAATAATATTTGTTTTTTTTGGTTTTGGTGGATAGGATTGTGGTTTGGTGGTGGTGTGGGAATTGGTTATGATAGGTAATGGGTGGAGGTGGTATGGAATGTTTAGTGAGTGTTTTTGGTGTTTGTGTTAGTTTTGTGGGTATTTGTATGAATTTATTTGTGTGTGGGATTTGTGGGTTGAGGTATTTGGGGTGTTAAGGTGGATATGTTGTGGTGTTGGGGTTGTAGGGGTTTGGTTATTGGTTTTTTTTTGTATTGTTTTTGGTGGGTTTGGGTTGTTGATTTGGGGGGGTGGGTGATGGATTAGGGTTGTTTGGTGGGGGTTTAGGGTTGGGTGGTGGTTGTTTTTGGTGTATGTTGGGATAGTTTTAGTCGATGAAGGGGGGTGTGTGTTTTGTGGGAAATTATTGATATGTTGGTAGGTTGGTTATTAGGTTTTAGATGATTTGGATGTTTTGGGTTGTTTGTTTGGGTTGGGTTGGTAGGTGTTGAATTGTTTAAGGTAGATTTTTTGGTTTTTTGATAGGTGTAGTTTTTGTGGTATGGGTTTTTTTGGTGTTTTTTTAGGGTTTTTTTTAGGGTTTTTTGTGTGGGATGGTTAGTTGTGTTTTGTTTTTTAGTTTTTTTGTTGTTGTTATGTGATTATTGTAGTGGTTTTTTGGGTTATAGTTTTATGTGAGAAAAATTATTTAAATCGCTGAATACGAAAAAAAAGACACTTGAAGGGTATTGGGTTTAGTATTATTTAGCGAAAGCACTGTTTCTTAGTATATCAAATTAGGGTGTAAATAAAAAAAGTATAGTTTGTTTTAAAAGCTGAGATTTGTAATAGAAAAATATAACTCCAGAATTATACAGTTCCAAGCTCTGGGATAGAAGCGTTTAAACGAAAGACTTTAAGAGAATGAC